TTTGTGTGGATTAACCAGCAGATTTGTCCCGTGTGATAACGTCCATAGTGGCATCATACGTTGTTTTACATACACAATTCCACTCCCCCCCATGTCCCAACTTTGCAATGATTTGGTTAATATCATCCAACTGGGTGACAGTGGTTTCACACAAGAGCCTACTACACAAAACCGTCTCTCCACTAATCTTTCACAAGTTAGCAGCTGCCAGATATATTTTTTTGGGCAAAAATCCCATCAACCCCAGCTAGTATGCTCATGAGTTATGGGTGATGAGGATTACAGTCCAAAAGTCTAGATAGCCCCAGATTGGAGAACGCTGCTCTTCATAGATATACACTTGTCCATTTCTATTATATTTAGGGAAAGTGGGGTTGCTTTGTGGTGCTTCAGTGATAGGCAGGATCACATTACTTTACAGAATGCTCCCAAAATGTGGTGATGGTCATTAACTTTGAGAATTCAGAAAAGAGACACAACTCCCAGAAAGAAAATTGTTCTAAAAAGGAGTACTAGAATTCTCTTTTTGCAGTCTCCATTCTGAGCCAAGGCATGGAAAATCCTGACCTACAGCCAGCCTTCTGTATCCACAGGTTCTTTATCCACAGATTCAACCATTCAGGCTTGAAAATATTGCAAAAGCAAACCTTAATTTTGCCATTGTGGATAAAGGGCACCATTTTACTCTGCCATTGTATTCAATGGGACTTGAATATCAATGGATTTTGATATCCACGGGAAATCCTGGAACCAAGCTCTAGCAGATACCAAGGGCCCACTGTATTTCCATATCTGCTCTAAAGTTATATAAATAATCTATGAGTTTTATTTTTGTTTTTGTTTTCTCCTATGCCCTGATTTTATGAGACCCAGCATAATGGAAGGCAATCTTTCATAGGTACGGTATTCTCTGAATTCGTTATCAGTGGTGCATTATCAGTTGCAAGGGAGCATCCCTGGAAGAGAGCTGCTCATTGTTTTTACCAAATAAATTGGTACACTGTTATTAGAAATATCCTGTCTTTCAATGGCCATTTGGCATTCCCAACAGGTTTTACACCAACCTTTTTAAAAAACCCAGCTCAGTTCAAAGTAGCCTTGTTGTTAAGACCTCACCTAATTGCTATATTTAATAAAGAATGCCATGGGTGCAAATGCGTGAGATAGCAAAAGGAAGATGGAACAGGCTGCTAGAACAAAGGACAGCTCTTGTCTCTCCTCTGTCACCCACTAGCAAGTTAAATACAGTCGTCTCTCTCCATTTGGGGGGATCTATTCCAGAACCCCCCTCCACAAAAAAGAAAAATAGCGGATATTCAAGCCCCATTGGCTATAATGGCGGTGCGCTCCCATGCGCGGTTCCATATGCACCGCGGGCACGCGTGCCATTTTGTTCCTCCTGGCTTGCCTTCTGCAGAAACTCAAAACTGCAAATGGGAAGTCTGCAAACGGGGAGGGATGACTGTAATCATCATCATCATCATCATCATCATCATCATCATCATCATCAGTAATAATAAAAAAAATGTAGGCTGTTCCTCCCTTCCAGCCTGCAACTCTTTGGTTGGCACCGTGGGCTGGACTCATTGTCCAGGGGTTATTCTTTGTTTCTTTTAACTTCTGCTTACTTCTACCCAGGGAACTGGGGACTCCAGAAATTTGGATGTTTGACTAATAGTACCGTATTTTCCGGCGTATAAGATGGCTGGGCGTATAAGACGACCCCCCACTTTTCCAGTTAAAATATAGAGTTTGGGAAGAGTATGACTTCCAAAACTGTTGTTGTTGTTGCTGTGCACCTTCAAGTCATTTCCAACTGATGACGACACTAAGGCAAACCTATCATGAACCTCCTTATACCCGGCTTATAAGACCCCCCCCCCACTTTAACCCCAGATTTCGCAGGTTAAAAAGTAGTCTTATATGCCAGAAAATAATCAAATTGACAAACAAAAGGTAAGAAATACAGAGAAACTACAAAAGGGGTCCGGTAATCCACTGCCAGCAATGAACCAATGTGGTTTGGTGCACTCACGCAGAAGTTAGAAACAGTAAACCAGCCCAAAGTGCTCCACACACAATATCTAGCAGAGAAGTAAATCAAAACTGAGACTTTTTCAAAAGGTACGTAGAAGGTAATTTTACTCACAACTTGTGCATTATCAACACAGGTTCATCTTCTTGAGGAAAGGTGAATTCAAATAAGGCTCTACATAGTATAAAGCAAGCCTGAACATCTCAGGCCAGGAGAGTTCCTTCTTAGAAGTGCATCATGGAGGCAGGCAAGGAAAGTCAAAAGGAAGCAAGACATGCCATTAATTTCTGGGAATTGCTTTTCCTTCAAGTACAAGTTGAGTATCCATTATCCAAAATGCTTGAGATCATAAGTGGTTTAGATTTTGGAATTTTTTTCCAGATTTTGGAATATTTGCATATACATAATAAGATCTCTTGGAGAGGGGGCCCAAGTCTGAACGTTAAATCCAATTATGTTTCATACACACCTTATAGGGGAGACAGTGTGGCACAGTGGTTTGAGTGTTGGACTATGACTCTAGAGACAAAGTTTTGATTCCCAGCTTGGCCATGAAACCCACTGGGTGACCTTGGGCAAGTCACACACTCTCAGCCTCAGGGGAAGGCAACCTCCTCTGAAAAAAATCTTGCCAAGAAAACCCCTTGACAGGTTTGTCTTAGGACGTTTTCACAAGGGGGTCCCTAAAGCCGGCTGGAGCCATTCCGGAACAGCTCCTGCCACTGATTCTGGAATGGCTCCGTCGGCGGCAGGCTAATTCCGGGTGGACAGCCGGAATTACCTTTCCGCCGCTGAAGCTGGAGTTAGCGTTGGTTCGGCCGGAGTGACGCCGGACTTAGGGCTCCGTGCGTTTGAACACACGGAGCGAAAAGCCGGACTGACGCAGGGATGGCACCAGAAGGGGCGGGGTTTGCCGCCGCCGCGCGCGTCTGAACAAGCTGGAAATGGAGCCGGAGTGGGGCCGGACGGAGGTAGGATTGAGTCCTCAAAAAGCCCCATGTGAAAACGCCCTTAGGGTTGTCACAAGTAGGAAATGACTTGAAGGCACACAACATGCACACACACACACCTCTTATACAGATAGCCCAAAGGTAGTTTTATACATAATATTTTAATAATTTTGTGCATGAAAAAAAAAGTGTGTATACTGAAAGCAAAGGTGCCACTATCTCAGCCACCCATGTGGACGATTTTGGATTTTGGAATATTTTGGATTTCAGAATTTTGGATAAGGGCTAACATGTAACTGTAGAGATCCAACACTTGGCCCAGCAGTGACACTATCTATGTGCCATGAATCAAATTTCTTTATGGGGAACAAAGAGAGGAACTATTAAAATGCATCACAAAAAGAAATTTAAAAAGGAAGGGAAAAGGGAAGTGACCAATGCACGCAAGCCACAATTCTTAAATTAGGAGAGCTTTGCCTTGCTCTTTGCATAGAAGAGAGTAAAGTAAGTAAGAAGTGCGGAGGAAAATATTTACGGGTAACATTTGAGATTCCACTAATCTCTAATGCATGAGATAGCAAAAGGGTCTTGCAGATCTAAGAGAGTGCAGATCTAAGAAGAAAGGGGATCCCCATGATCCCACTCTCATTTTCATATTGGGTAGATCTGTATACTACAGGCCCTTGGTATCTGTTGGGATTTGGTTCTGGGATCCTCCATAGACACCAACATTTGTGGATGTTCAAGTCTATTATATACAGTGGTATAGTTTCCTGAACTGGTGAAATAAGTTAAGGAATAAGAAGAGTGTTTGGGATCTATGTGCCTACTTGCCATCCATACTTTGCAAGAGGTAGCCTCCTCTTGTTCTACTTATAAGTCTCTGCTAGAAGAGGAGACCAGCTATGGAAGAAAAAGAGGTGCTGCTACTGAAAGGTCCATGATTTCAGATGCCTTTAAGCCAGTTCACAGAGCATGAGAAATAAATGCGTGTGACCTCTTAACACAAGAAGACAAATATTTAATAGATACTACTGAAACCTGTTGGAATGAGATTCATTATTTGAATGTAGAACATTCAGTGTAGAACACCTTCAGGAGTGGCAGAATAATCCTCAGAACTAAACAAAAGAACCATCCAGAAATAGCACCTCCAAAAAATTGGAAAATAGAAGTCTCTTCTAGTTTCATTTTAAGTTGTTTGGCAAGTCTAAATCTGCATGGATTGGACATACAAACATCTAGCATCATAATCCACATCACATGTAGGGACATGATGAAAACTCATTGCTGTTCATTAAACTTATGGGATTTTTCAGTTTTCAGGATGCTCAGCTCAAGTATTTATAGAAGTCTAAAATTGGGCACCTGCTCAACTGACGGGTGAAAATTTGCAGACACTTCATTTGCAAAATAAGCAATGGAGCGGGCACTTCAATGAGAAATTGAATGTTCAGGATTTTTTTTCTTAAATAATAAAAGTAACAGTGCCCCAGTCATTCATTTTAATTGTGTAGGTCTCGGTCAGGACAATTTGTGATGAAGGGGAGAGGGAATTCCTACAGCACTTGTGAGTTTCTACCTACAACAGACAAGGTAAACAGCAGCTGCCTCCAGAATCCCTTACTGTGGATTCATAAACAGCAAAACGTGGGGGAAAGTGGAAACAAATAAGCCTGTTTCGCCAGCTATCACCAGTATGTTAACAAAGAATAAATTATAAACTTGGCCACCAAAATGGAAATCATAAGAAAAGTGAAGGCTGATGAAGGTCACCCAGTGGGTTTCATGGCCAAGCTGGGAATCGAAACTTTGTCTGTAGAGTCATAGTCCAACACTCAAACCACTGTGCCACACTGTCTCCCCTATAAGGTGTGTATGAAACATAATTGGATTTAATGTTTAGACTTGGGTTCCTTCTCTGGGTGAATTTTGGAAGAAGCTTTCAAGTGGGATCTAGAAGGTTCACAATGTTTCTGTTTACTTATGCAAGGCTTACCTGACTTGCTTTTATCATTTCACATGTGTGTACTGTTAGTCTTGACTAAAAAGTTTGCTGATATATGTTGAACTTCTTCTTTCGTTTTGCTTTCGTAATATAGCAAACTATTCCTGCATTTTCCGTCTTATTTCTACCTCTTCTACCAAATGTTCTGCAAAAGAAGTAATGTCTAGGAACACATCCGCTTTGTTAACTGAGGTATACTTGGGACTTATTGTGTTTGTAATATTAAATATTCAATTATCTGGGCTCATAAATCCCCAAAAGAGTTAGAACATCACCAGGGGCTGCTCTTCCTAATATGACACTTGTTACCAGGTCCTGCTTTCTGTGTCATCAAAAGAAGTCATTTGTATGTTTCACGGCCTGGGATAATGAATGAAATTCATTACTGTCAATGACCAGTAATAGAAGAAAAAAATACATTATAAAAGCAATGTTATACATGGTAGAAAGAAATTGTACAAGATAGTACAGTATTATACAAAATCAAATACCACATTGCATCGGGACAAAATTTCAACAGCATAGTAGCTTGCCACCTACATTAGTTTCTATGTAGCTTTCCTATAGCTGGACAATCTATAAATGTAGGTCGCACAGATGACCAGACAAAAACATCCCATATAAATGATAATAACAATGACAGTGGCAAACACGGCCTGGGATAGTCCTAGGATGGGGAAATGGGACTGGACTTGCAGGACTACCAAATTTTAGCACTGGAAATCTCCAGGAGTGCATCTGTTTCTCTTCCCTTTCCCAGAACTGGATTACCAGTTAAATATTCTACAATAGGAGAGGAGGGAGGGTAAACATAAGGCGAGCATTCAAAACAAAATGTTCCCTCTACTGTAAGTTTAAAAATATTTTGTTTTATTTTGGTGCACAGCCTTTATACAGATTTGGTTTCACATTGTTGTGCATGTGTGTGTGTTTTAACCCAATCTGGATTGCAGCACTTTACTGCTATTCCTGAACTGCAGCTGCTGCATTCAAAGCGGTGCCTGTGTTAAAACTGAATTGCAATATTGGTAAACCTCTCCTGCTGTATTTGGGGGTTCTCCTGTTGAGAGGGGAGCCCTGAACCTCTTCCCAAAAGCCCTGCCCTGACCACCTGACTGATCAAGGACATCCTAGATTACTTTCAGATCCTTTTTTAGAATGGAGAGTTACATTATAAAGTGGTTCCCGCACACAAGCTTTTTGCATATAATCTCTTTGCATGTTCATTGTCAGCTAATAATAAATACTCCAGATGGTTCCACCTGTCAAATCATCCTTTATTTATCCAGCCAATAAAAGGGGAGTGGGAAGAAGAGAAAGCAACTTTGAATGACAGTAGAATTTTCTTTGATCACTTAAAAATTAACAGTTTCATAATTTCCTGTTATTTAAACTGGAAGAAGGAAAATTATTGTGGGCAATTACATTAAAGGCCATTAACATTGCACAATTATACCACTATGATTTAACTGTCATGGCTGCGTCCTATGGAAACCTAGGGTTTATAGCATGGTGAGGCACTAGAGATATTTGGCCGAGAATTATACATACCTAAACTGCAAACTCCAGGATTCCATAGAACAGAACCATGGCAGTTCAAGTGGAATCGGTGCTATAATTGTCCAGTGTGAAAGGACACTAAAATAATTATAAAACAAAGAGGATCAAGGATGGAGTTGCCAGTGGCAAAGGCTCTAAAGCTGGCTATTTTAATTTCTGATTTTGCTGCTCTCTAGTTTAAATGCAGAACTTTGGGAAAATTCTTGTTTTGTGAAGTCGTAGGCTTTCATGGCCGGCATCTATAGTTTTTTGTGGGTTTTTTGGGCTGTGTGGCCACGTTCTAGAAGAATTTCTTTCTGACATTTTGCCAGCATCTGTAGCTGGCATCTTCTGAGAAAACTAGAATGGAAGAGAATGGGTCTATATATACTGTGAGCTCACTCCGTCATGCGGCGCTCGGGCCTTGAAATGCCAACCTTCCGACCTTGTGATCATCTGTGTCTTAACCACTGAGCCACTGCATCCCTAGGTGGTATCTTACCCCATCAAATTGTCAAGAATAGCTTTAAATGCTGCACCATCATGCTGGAGGGGATGCAAACAAACTGGCTCTTATCTCAATATGTGGATAGACTATCCTAAAGTCAAAATTCTTTGGTTGATGGTCATAAACCAGTTCTCACTTATTACCAAACCAAACATCCATTTTCTTGTTTTAATTGTCTGTGAGACTGATTGTGTGTATCAATAATAGATTTTAGGGCTGGGCTACCCCCTCCCTATTTTTATGCCTTATGTGCAAGGTGTGAAATTGAGGCAGGGGTTTAGCTCTTTTTGGGGAGAGCAGGGCATTTGGACAGCAGGGGGTGTAAAGCTCAGCTATGTGCCACCCAGATTGTTTGGCTACCAGCTGCTCTTTTCCCTATTTTTTGGATATGCATGCATGCATTTTTGTTTCTCCATTTTTATGTCTATACA